CACCACACCGCCACCCTCACCACACCGTCAGCCTCACCACACCGCCACCCTCACCACACCACCACCCTCACCACACCACCACACCCTCACCACACCGCCACCCTCACCACACCGCCACCCTCACCACACCACCACCCTCACCACACCACCACCCTCACCACACCACCACCACCACCACACCCTCACCACACCGCCACCCCCACCACACCGCCACCCTCACCACCCTCACCACACCACCACCCCCACTACCCCCACCACCACCACCACCACACCCTCACCACACCGCCACCCTCACCACCACACCCTCACCACACCCTAACCACACCACCACCACCACTACCACACCCTCACCACACCACCACTACACCACCACACCGCCACCCCCACCACCACCACCACCCTCACCACACCACCCTCACCACACCCTCACCACACCGCCACCACCCACACCACCACACCGCCACGTCACCTTGCCCTGCTTGACGATGTAGTAAGGGTTGCTACGGGAGAAGCCGGCGCTCTCCAGTAAGTTCATGACGTCATTCTTCCTGCAGCCACACAGACAAAGGGCACCCGTGTAGCCTCCACACAGGCGGGCGGGGCAAGTGCGTGTGGGGAGCCACGCCCTACGGCCCTCCTAGAGGCTACCTGGGGGAGCTTTGTCTGTGTCTCGGCACTTGCCCCTGCAGCCCTGCTAGAGGCTACCTGGGGGAGCTTTGTCTGTGTCTCAGCACTTGCCCCTACGGCCCTCCTAGAGGCTACCTGGGGGAGCTTTGTCTGTGTCTCGGCACTTGCCCCTGCAGCCCTGCTAGAGGCTACCTGGGGGAGCTTTGTCTGTGTCTCAGCACTTGCCCCTACAGCCCTGCTAGAGGCTACCTGGGGGAGCTTTGTCTGTGTCTCGGCACTTGCCCCTACAGCCCTGCTAGAGGCTACCTGGGGGAGCTTTGTCTGTGTCTCAGCACTTGCCCCTACAGCCCTCCTAGAGGCTATCTGGGGGAGCTTTGTCTGTGTCTCGGCACTTGCCCCTACAGCCCTGCTAGAGGCTACCTGGGGGAGCTTTGTCTGTGTCTCAGCACTTGCCCCTACAGCCCTGCTAGAGGCTACCTGGGGGAGCTTTGTGTCTCGGCACTTGCCCCTACAGCCCTGCTAGAGGCTACCTAGGGGAGCTTTGTGTCTGTGTCTCAGCACTTGCCCCTAGATCCCTGCTGGAGGCCACCTTGGGGAACTTTGTCTGTGTCTCAACACTTGCCCCTACAGCCCTGCTGGAGGCTACCTGGGGGAGCTTTGTCTGTGTCTCAGCACTTGCCCCTACAGCCATGCTGGAGGCTACCTGGGGGAGCTTTGTCTGTGTCTCAGCACTTGGCCCTACAGCCCTGCTAGAGGCTACCTGGGGGAGCTTTGTCTGTGTCTCGGCACTTGCCCCTACAGCCCTGCTAGAGGCTACCTGGGGGAGCTTTGTCTGTGTCTCAGCACTTGCCTCTACAGCCCTGCTAGAGGCTACCTAGGGTAGCTTTGTCTGTGTCTCTGCACTTGCCCCTACAGCCCTGCTGGAGGCTACCTGGGGGAGCTTTGTCTGTGTCTCAGCACTTGCCCCTACAGCCCTGCTAGAGGCTACCTGGGGGAGCTTTGTCCGTGTCTCGGCACTTGCCCCTACAGCCCTGCTAGAGGCTACCTGGGGGAGCTTTGTCTGTGTCTCAGCACTTGCCCCTACAGCCCTGCTAGAGGCTACCTGGGGGAGCTTTGTCTGTGTCTCGGCACTTGCCCCTACAGCCCTGCTAGAGGCTACCTGGGGGAGCTTTTTGTCTGTGTCTCAGCACTTGCCCCTACAGCCCTGCTAGAGGCTACCTGGGGGAGCTTTTTGTCTGTGTCTGAGCACTTGCCCCTACAACCCTGCTAGAGGCTACCTGGGGGAGCTTTGTCTGTGTCTCGGCACTTGCCCCTGCAGCCCTGCTAGAGGCTACCTGGGGGAGCTTTGTCTGTGTCTCAGCACTTGCCCCTAGAGCCCTCCTAGAGGCTACCTGGGGGAGCTTTGTCTGTGTCTCAGCACTTGCCCCTAGAGCCCTCCTAAAGGCTACCTGGGGGAGCTTTGTCTGTGTCTCAGCACTTGCCCCTAGAGCCCTGCTAAAGGCTATCTGGGGGAGCTTTGTCTGCGTCTCAGCACTTGCCCCTACAGCCCTGCTAGAGGCTACCTGGGGGAGCTTTGTCTGTGTCTCGGCACTTGCCCCTACAGCCCTGCTAGAGGCTACCTGGGGGAGCTTTGTCTGTGTCTCAGCACTTGCCCCTACAGCCCTGCTAGAGGCTACCTGGGGGAGCTTTGTCTGTGTCTCGGCACTTGCCCCTAGAGCCCTGCTAGAGGCTATCTGGGGGAGCTTTGTCTGTGTCTCAGCACTTGCCCCTACAGCCCTGCTAGAGGCTACCTGGGGGAGCTTTGTCTGTGTCTCAGCACTTGCCCCTACAGCCCTCCTAGAGGCTATCTGGGGGAGCTTTGTCTGTGTCTCGGCACTTGCCCCTACAGCCCTGCTAGAGGCTACCTGGGGGAGCTTTGTCTGTGTCTCAGCACTTGCCCCTACAGCCCTGCTAGAGGCTACCTGGGGGAGCTTTGTGTCTCGGCACTTGCCCCTACAGCCCTGCTAGAGGCTACCTGGGGGAGCTTTGTCTGTGTCTCGGCACTTGCCCCTGCAGCCCTGCTAGAGGCTACCTGGGGGAGCTTTGTCTGTGTCTCAGCACTTGCCCCTAGAGCCCTCCTAGAGGCTACCTGGGGGAGCTTTGTCTGTGTCTCAGCACTTGCCCCTAGAGCCCTCCTAGAGGCTACCTGGGGGAGCTTTGTCTGTGTCTCAGCACTTGCCCCTAGAGCCCTGCTAGAGGCTACCTGGGGGAGCTTTGTCTGTGTCTCAGCACTTGCCCCTACAGCCCTGCTAGAGGCTACCTGGGGGAGCTTTGTCTGTGTCTCGGCACTTGCCCCTACAGCCCTGCTAGAGGCTACCTGGGGGAGCTTTGTCTGCGTCTCAGCACTTGCCCCTACAGCCCTGCTAGAGGCTACCTGGGGGAGCTTTGTCTGTGTCTCAGCACTTGCCCCTACAGCCCTGCTAGAGGCTACCTGGGGGAGCTTTGTCTGTGTCTCAGCACTTGCCCCTACAGCCCTGCTAGAGGCTACCTGGGGGAGCTTTGTCTGTGTCCCGGCACTTGCCCCTAGAGCCCTGCTAGAGGCTACCTGGGGGAGCTTTGTCTGTGTCTCAGCACTTGCCCCTACAGCCCTGCTAGAGGCTACCTGGGGGAGCTTTGTCTGTGTCTCAGCACTTGCCCCTACAGCCCTCCTAGAGGCTATCTGGGGGAGCTTTGTCTGTGTCTCGGCACTTGCCCCTACAGCCCTGCTAGAGGCTACCTGGGGGAGCTTTGTCTGTGTCTCAGCACTTGCCCCTACAGCCCTGCTAGAGGCTACCTGGGGGAGCTTTGTGTCTCGGCACTTGCCCCTACAGCCCTGCTAGAGGCTCCCTGGGGGAGCTTTGTCTGTGTCTCGGCACTTGCCCCTGCAGCCCTGCTAGAGGCTACCTGGGGGAGCTTTGTCTGTGTCTCAGCACTTGCCCCTAGAGCCCTCCTAGAGGCTACCTGGGGGAGCTTTGTCTGTGTCTCAGCACTTGCCCCTAGAGCCCTCCTAGAGGCTACCTGGGGGAGCTTTGTCTGTGTCTCAGCACTTGCCCCTAGAGCCCTGCTAGAGGCTACCTGGGGGAGCTTTGTCTGTGTCTCAGCACTTGCCCCTACAGCCCTGCTAGAGGCTACCTGGGGGAGCTTTGTCTGTGTCTCGGCACTTGCCCCTACAGCCCTGCTAGAGGCTACCTGGGGGAGCTGTGTCTGTGTCTCAGCACTTGCCCCTACAGCCCTGTTAGAGGCTACCTGGGGGACAGCTGTGTGTGGTGCTGTGTTAGCTGTGTGTGGTGCTGTGTTAGCTGCGTGTAGTGTTGTGTTAGCTGCGTGTAGTGTTGTGTTAGCTGTGTGTGGTGCTGTGTTAGCTGCGTGTAGTGTTGTGTTAGCTGTGTGTAGTGCTGTGTTAGCTGTGTGTAGCTGTGTGAAGTGCTGTGTTAGCTGTGTGTAGTGTTGTTAGCTGTGTGTAGTGTTGTGTTAGCTGTGTGTCGCACTGTGTTAGCTGTGTGAAGTGCTGTGTTAGCTGTATGTAGTGCTGTGTTAGCTGTGTGGAGCGCTGTGTTAGCTGTGTGTAGTGTTGTGTTAGCTGTGTGTGGTGCTGTGTTAGCTGTATGTAGTGCTGTGTTAGCTGTGTGGAGCGCTGTGTTAGCTGTGTGTGGTGCTGTGTTAGCTGTGTGTGGTGCTGTGTTAGCTGTGTGTGGTGCTGTGTTAGCTGTGTGTGGTGCTGTGTTAGCTGTGTGTGGTGCTGTGTTAGCTGTGTGTAGTGCTGTGTTAGCTGTGTGTAGTGTTGTGTTAGCTGTGTGTGGTGCTGTGTTAGCTGTATGTAGTGCTGTGTTAGCTGTGTGGAGCGCTGTGTTAGCTGTGTGTGGTGCTGTGTTAGCTGTGTGTGGTGCTGTGTTAGCTGTGTGTAGTGCTGTGTTAGCTGTGTGAAGTGTTGTTAGCTGTGTGTAGTGCTGTGTTAGCTGTGTGTAGTGCTGTGTTAGCTGTGTGTGGTGCTGTGTTAGCTGTGTGTGGTGCTGTGGCCTCAGGGTGCACATAGCCTGGCACAAGCGTCGTGGTGACGTCACCGCCACTTAGTGGCGAATGGCGGTTGTTGTTGTTAGCTGTGTGTCGCGCTGTGTTAGCTGTGTGTGTGCTGTGTTAGCTGTGTGTGTGTTGTGTTAGCTGTGTTAGCTGTGTGTGGTGTTGTGTTAGCTGTGTGTAGTGCTGTGTTAGCTGTGTGTAGTGCAGTGTTAGCTGTGTGTAGTGTTGTGTTAGCTGTGTGTGGTGCTGTGTTAGCTGTGTGTCGCACTGTGTTAGCTGTGTGAAGTGTTGTGTTAGCTGTGTGTGGTGCTGTGTTAGCTGTGTGTAGTGCTGTGTTAGCTGTGTGTGGTGCTGTGTTAGCTGTGTGTCGCACTGTGTTAGCTGTGTGTGTGTTGTGTTAGCTGTGTGTTAGCTGTGTGAAGTGCTGTGTTAGCTGTGTGTTAGCTGTGTGTAGTGCTGTGTTGCTGTGTGTCGCACTGTGTTAGCTGTGTGAAGTGCTGTGTTAGCTGTGTGTGTGCTGTGTTAGCTGTGTGTCGCACTGGGTTAGCTGTGTGTGGTGCTGTGTTAGCTGTGTGAAGTGTTGTGTTAGCTGTGTTAGCTGTGTGTGGTGCTGTGTTAGCTGTGTGTAGTGCTGTGTTAGCTGTGTGAAGTGTTGTTAGCTGTGTGTAGTGCTGTGTTAGCTGTGTGTAGTGCTGTGTTAGCTGTGTGTGGTGCTGTGTTAGCTGTGTGTGGTGCTGTGGCCTCAGGGTGCACATAGCCTGGCACAAGCGTCGTGGTGACGTCACCGCCACTTAGTGGCGAATGGCGGTTGTTGTTGTTAGCTGTGTGTCGCGCTGTGTTAGCTGTGTGTGTGCTGTGTTAGCTGTGTGTGTGTTGTGTTAGCTGTGTTAGCTGTGTGTGGTGTTGTGTTAGCTGTGTGTAGTGCTGTGTTAGCTGTGTGTAGTGCAGTGTTAGCTGTGTGTAGTGTTGTGTTAGCTGTGTGTGGTGCTGTGTTAGCTGTGTGTCGCACTGTGTTAGCTGTGTGAAGTGTTGTGTTAGCTGTGTGTGGTGCTGTGTTAGCTGTGTGTAGTGCTGTGTTAGCTGTGTGTGGTGCTGTGTTAGCTGTGTGTCGCACTGTGTTAGCTGTGTGTGTGTTGTGTTAGCTGTGTGTTAGCTGTGTGAAGTGCTGTGTTAGCTGTGTGTTAGCTGTGTGTAGTGCTGTGTTGCTGTGTGTCGCACTGTGTTAGCTGTGTGAAGTGCTGTGTTAGCTGTGTGTGTGCTGTGTTAGCTGTGTGTCGCACTGGGTTAGCTGTGTGTGGTGCTGTGTTAGCTGTGTGAAGTGTTGTGTTAGCTGTGTGGAGCGCTGTGTTAGCTGTGTGTGTGCTGTGTTAGCTGTGTGTCGCACTGGGTTAGCTGTGTGTGGTGCTGTGTTAGCTGTGTGAAGTGTTGTGTTAGCTGTGTGGAGCGCTGTGTTAGCTGTGTGTGTGCTGTGTTAGCTGTGTGTTAGCTGTGTTAGCTGTGTGAAGTGCTGTGTTAGCTGTGTGGAGCGCTGTGTTAGCTGTGTGTGTGCTGTGTTAGCTGTGTGTTAGCTGTGTTAGCTGTGTGAAGTGCTGTGTTAGCTGTGTGAAGTGCTGTGTTAGCTGTGTGGAGCGCTGTGTTAGCTGTGTGGAGCGCTGTGTTAGCTGTGTGTGCTGTGTTAGCTGTGTGTCGCACTGTGTTAGCTGGGTGTAGTGCTGTGTTAGCTGTGTGTTAGCTGTGTGAAGTGCTGTGTTAGCTGTGTGTTAGCTGTGTGTGGTGTTGTGTTAGCTGTGTGTCGCACTGTGTTAGCTGTGTGTGGTGCTGTGTTAGCTGTGTGAAGTGTTGTGTTAGCTGTGTGTGGTGTTGTGTTAGCTGTGTGTCGCACTGTGTTAGCTGTGTGAAGTGCTGTGTTAGCTGTGTGTTAGCTGTGTTAGCTGTGTGGAGCGCTGTGTTAGCTGTGTGTGTGCTGTGTTAGCTGTGTGTTAGCTGTGTTAGCTGTGTGTGGTGTTGTGTTAGCTGTGTGTCGCACTGTGTTAGCTGTGTGTCGCACTGTGTTAGCTGTGTGTGTGCTGTGTTAGCTGTGTGTCGCGCTGTGTTAGCTGTGTGGAGCGCTGTGTTAGCTGTGTGTGTGCTGTGTTAGCTGTGTGTTAGCTGTGTTAGCTGTGTGTGGTGTTGTGTTAGCTGTGTGTCGCACTGTGTTAGCTGTGTGGAGCGCTGTGTTAGCTGTGTGTGGCGCTGTATCTACTGACGTCACGATCTTCTTGTCCAAGAAGTATTGGTCCTTCTTCGCTCCGATGACTCGTCTCAGAGTGACCTCCTCCTTGTCAATCTGAGCACAAAAGACAAAGGTCCTCCACGTGACTGCCGTGCCAGGCTAGGTGCAGGAAGAGGTCACGGGACAGACCCATGACTGACCGAGACGACTGGCTGATGCGCCACCTGTGCCAACCCGCTGCGCTTTAGCCACCCGGCGCTCCGCTCGTTGTTGTGAGCGTCGCTCCTCCGCCCTCCGTTGTTGTTGCTGGAGGGCGACTGCCTCCAACTGCCCAGTAGCATCCTTCACGAGCCTCCTCCACAGAGGCCGATCTTGACACCGCTGGTGCCGGTCATCAGCAAGTCCACTCAGCTCCACATCAGCTCCATCTCTTCTCTATCCCGTGCCACCCACTCACCCACTCACTCACCTACTCCCTCACCCACTCACTCACTCACTCAATCCATCAATCATCCACTCACTCACCTACCTGCTCACTCACCAACTCCCTCATTCACCCACTCACTCACCTACCCACTCACCCAATCAATCGCTCACCCACTCACTCACTCACCCACTCCCACACCCACTTAATCAATCAATCATCCACTCACTCACCTACCTGCTCACTCACCAACTCCCTCATTCACCCACTCACTCACCTACCCACTCACCCAATCAATCGCTCACCCACTCACTCACTCACCCACACCCACTCAATCAATCAATCATCCACTCACTCACCTACCTGCTCACTCACCAACTCCCTCATTCACCCACTCACTCACCTACCCACTCACCCAATCAATCGCTCACCCACTCACTCACTCACTCACCCACTCCCACTTAATCAATCAATCATCCACTCACTCACCTACCTGCTCACTCACCAACTCCCTCATTCACCCACTCACTCACCTACCCACTCACCCAATCAATCAATCATCCACTCACTCACCCACTCAATCAATCAATGATCCACTCACTTACCTACCTGCTCACTCACCAACTCCCTCATTCACCCACTCACCCAATAAATCATCCACTCACTCACCCACTCACTCCCTCACTCAATCAATCACCCACTCACCCACCCACCCACCAACTCACACACCAGCTTATCTCTCAGGCCCATGACACTCAGAACCCCTTATCTCACCCGCACAAAGACAAAAGATCCCCCTGTATAGTCTTCACAGGCTGCAGGGGCAAGTGGTGTTCGCGAGTAGCCGACACTGTGGCACACGAGGGGGTGGGTGGCCAGCACCGCCGGGTGGCTAAAGCACAGCGGGTTGGCACAGTAGGGGGCACAGGTGGTGCATCAGCCACTCGTCTCAGTCAGTCGACCCGTGGCACCTGGGTCTGCCCCGTGACCTCCTGCCAGCGGGCGTTCGACACTTCACGTGGCCTCAAGGTGCACATAGCCTGGCACAAGCGTCGTGGTGACGTCACCGCCACTTAGTGGCGAATGGCGGTTGTTGTTGTTGTTGTGTGTGCGTGTGTGGGTGTGTAGGTGTGTGTGTAGGTGTGTGTGTGTGTCTGTGTGTGTCTGTATATTTCAGTTTAACTCGTGGACCCCCCTAATGGAACATCTTCGCCGGTTAGAAACATTTAGGCTGGCCTGCCTACGATCCATCCTGGGATTAACCAGGCTGGATTGTGTGAGGAGCTCACAAATCTTTGAAAGATCTGGGCAAAGTCCCATCGGTGAGCTCCTCCGGCAGGCAAGGCTGCGTTGGCTGGGCCATGTAGCCCGCATGCCCAATCACCGCATGCCGAAACAGCTTTTGTTCGGCCGGATCGAGGGGGCTAAACGGGCGCGGCACGGGCTAGAGAAGAGATGGAGTGATGTGGTACAGGAGGACGTGGAGCTGAGTGGATTTGCCGATGACCGGTACCAGCGGTGTCAAGATCGGCCTCTGTGGAGGAGGCTCGTGAAGGACGCTACTGGGCAGTTGGAGGCAGTCGCCCTCCAACAACGGAGGGCGGAGGAGCGACGCTCACAACAACGAGCGGAGCGCCGGGTGGCTAAAGCACAGCAGGTTGGCACAGTAGGGGGCACAGGTGGTGCATCAGCCAGTCATCTCAGTCAGTCGACCCGTGGCACCTGCTGGGTCTGCCCCGTGACCTCCTGCCAGCGGGCGTTTGACACTTCACGTGGCCTCAAGGTGCACATAGCCTGGCACAAGCGTCGTGGTGACGTCACCGCCACTTAGTGGCGAATGGCGGTTGTTGTTGTTGTGTGACTGTGTGTGTGAGTGTGTGTGGCGTGCGTGTCTGTATGTGTGAGTGAGTGTGTGTCTGTGTGTGTCTGTGTCTGTGTGTCTATGTGTGTCTGTCTGCGTCTGTGCGTGGAGTGCGTCTTACCGGCAGGCGGTTGTCCGAGTTGTCAAAGACAACCTCGACGAAGGCCGAGATCACCCGTGGACCGGTACCCTCCTGTCTCACACACAGACAGAGATCCCCCGTGTAGCCTTAACAGACGGTAGGGGCAAGTGCTGTCAGCGAGTAGCAGCACCTACACACAGACAAAGATCCCCCGTGTAGCCTTAACAGACTGTAGGGGCAAGTGCTGTCAGCGAGTAGCAGCACCTATACACAGACAAAGATCCCCCGTGTAGCCTTAACAGACTGTAGGGGCAAGTGCTGTCAGCGAGTAGCAGCACCTACACACAGACAAAGATCCCCCGTGTAGCCTTAACAGACTGTAGGGGCAAGTGCTGTCAGCGAGTAGCAGCACCTACACACAGACAGAGATCCCCCGTGTAGCCTTAACAGACTGTAGGGGCAAGTGCTGTTAGCGAGCACCTATGAAGGCCGGTAACGGTACACGAGGGGGTGGGTGGCCAGCACCACGCCCGACCGCCTTTGTCTCCCTAGTGGCAATGTTTACACACCGCACCAGGTACTCATTTGAGGCTGAGTCGACCTAGACACAGACAGACACACACACAGACACACACACACAGACAACACGCACACACAAAGAGACACAGACACTCACACAAAGACACACTACACACAGACACACACACACTGACAGACACACACACAAAGAGACACACTACACAGACAGACACACACACACAGAAACACACAAAAAGACACACACACACTCACACAAAAAGACAGACGCAGAAACACTCACACAAAGACACACAAAGAGACACACACAGACAGACACACACATAAAGAGACACACGCAAAAATACACACACACAGACACACAGACAGATACACACACACTACACACAGACACACACAACAACCGCCATTCGCCACTAAGTGGCGGTGACGTCACCACGACGCTTGTGCCAGGACATGTGCACCTTGAGGCCTCAAGACACACACACAGACAAGACACACACACACACACAAAGAGACACACACACAGAAACACACAAAAAGACACAGACACCCACGCAAAAAGACACTCAGAAACACTCACGCAAAGACACACAAAGAGACACACAGACAGACATACACACACATAAAGAGACACACAGACACACACAGAGAGACACACACAGACACACACACAAAGAGACACACTACACACAGACACACACACACACACAGACACACTCACACAAAAAGACAAAGGTCCCCCGTGTAGCCTCTAATAGACTGTTGGGGTTGGGCCAAGTGCTGTTAGCAGCGAGCAGCCAGCAGCAGCAGCGTTTGTGAAGGCCGGCACTGTGGGTGTTGTGTCAGGCACTGTGAGTGATGAGTCAGGCACTGTGAGTGTTGTGTCAGGCACTGTGAGTGATGTGTCAGGCACTGTGGATGATGAGTCAGGCACTGTGAGTGATGTGTCAGGCACTGTGGGTGTTGTGTCAGGCACTGTGGGTGTTGTGTCAGGCACTGTGAGTGATGAGTCAGGCACTGTGAGTGATGAGTCAGGCACTGTGGGTGATGTGTCAGTCACTGTGTCAGGCACTGTGGGTGTTGTGTCAGGCACTGTGAGTGTTGTGTCAGGCACTGTGAGTGATGTGTCAGGCACTGTGGGTGTTGTGTCAGGCACTGTGGGTGTTGTGTCAGGCACTGTGTCAGGCACTGTGAGTGATGAGTCAGGCACTGTGGGTGATGTGTCAGTCACTGTGTCAGGCACTGTGGGTGTTGTGTCAGGCACTGTGAGTGTTGTGTCAGGCACTGTGAGTGATGTGTCAGGCACTGTGGGTGTTGTGTCAGGCACTGTGGGTGATGTGTCAGGCACTGTGTCAGGCACTGTGGGTGTTGTGTCAGGCACTGTGGGTGTTGTGTCAGGCACTGTGAGTGTTGTGTCAGGCACTGTGAGTGATGAGTCAGGCACTGTGGGTGTTGTGTCAGGCACTGTGGGTGATGTGTCAGGCACTGTGAGTGATGTGTCAGGCACTGTGAGTGATGTGTCAGGCACTGTGAGTGATGAGTCAGGCACTGTGAGTGATGTGTCAGGCACTGTGTCAGGCACTGTGAGTGAAGAGTCAGGCACTGTGGGTGTTGAGTCAGGCACTGTGAGTGTTGTGTCAGGCACTGTGAGTGATGTGTCAGGCACTGTGTCAGGCACTGTGAGTGATGAGTCAGGCACTGTGAGTGATGTGTCAGGCACTGTGAGTGTTGTGTCAGGCACTTTGGGTGTTGTGTCAGGCACTGTGGGTGATTTGTCAGGCACTGTGGGTGATGTGTCAGGCACTGTGGGTGTTGTGTCAGGCACTGTGAGTGATGAGTCAGGCACTGTGGGTGATGTGTCAGGCACTGTGGGTGATGTGTCAGGCACTGTGAGTGATGTGTCAGGCACCGTGGGTGTTGTGTCAGGCACTGTGGGTGTTGTGTCAGGCACTGTGAGTGATGTGTCAGGCACCGTGGGTGTTGTGTCAGGCACTGTGAGTGATGAGTCAGGCACTGTGGGTGATGTGTCAGGCACTGTGGGTGATGAGTCAGGCACTGTGTCAGGCACTGTGGGTGTTGTGTCAGGCACTGTGGGTGTTGTGTCAGGCACTGTGGGTGTTGTGTCAGGCACTGTGAGTGATGAGTCAGGCACTGTGAGTGATGTGTCAGGCACTGTGGGTGTTGTGTCAGGCACTGTGTCAGGCACTGAGTGTTGTGTCAGGCACTGTGGGTGTTGTGTCAGGCACTGTGTCAGGCACTGTGGGTGTTGTGTCAGGCACTGTGGGTGATGTGTCAGGCACTGTGGGTGATGAGTCAGGCACCATGGGTGTTGTGTCAGGCACTGTGAGTGATGAGTCAGGCACTGTGGGTGTTGCGTCAGGCACTGTGAGTGATGTGTCAGGCACTGTGGGTGATGTGTCAGGCACTGTGGGTGATGTGTCAGGCACTGTGAGTGATGTGTCAGGCACCGTGGGTGTTGTGTCAGGCACTGTGGGTGATGTGTCAGGCACCGTGGGTGTTGTGTCAGGCACTGTGAGTGATGTGTCAGGCACTGTGGGTGTTGTGTCAGGCACTGTGAGTGATGAGTCAGGCACTGTGGGTGATGAGTCAGGCACTGTGTCAGGCACTGTGGGTGTTGTGTCAGGCACTGTGGGTGTTGTGTCAGGCACTGTGGGTGTTGTGTCAGGCACTGTGAGTGATGAGTCAGGCACTGTGAGTGATGTGTCAGGCACTGTGGGTGTTGTGTCAGGCACTGTGGGTGTTGTGTCAGGCACTGTGGGTGATGTGTCAGGCACTGTGGGTGTTGTGTCAGGCACTGTGAGTGATGTGTCAGGCACTGTGGGTGTTGTGTCAGGCACTGTGGGTGTTGTGTCAGGCACTGTGAGTGATGTGTCAGGCACTGTGAGTGATGTGTCAGGCACTGTGGGTGTTGTGTCAGGCACTGTGGGTGTTGTGTCAGGCACTGTGGGTGATGTGTCAGGCACTGTGAGTGATGTGTCAGGCACTGTGAGTGATGAGTCAGGCACTGTGAGTGATGTGTCAGGCACTGTGAGTGATGTGTCAGGCACCGTGGGTGTTGTGTCAGGCACTGTGAGTGATGAGTCAGGCACTGTGAGTGATGTGTCAGGCACTGTGAGTGATGAGTCAGGCACTGTGGGTGTTGTGTCAGGCACTGTGAGTGATGTGTCAGGCACTGTGGGTGATGTGTCAGGCACTGTGAGTGATGAGTCAGGCACTGTGGGTGTTGTGTCAGGCACTGTGAGTGATGAGTCAGGCACTGTGGGTGATGTGTCAGGCACTGTGGGTGATGTGTCAGGCACTGTGGGTGTTGTGTCAGGCACTGTGGGTGATGTGTCAGGCACTGTGAGTGATGTGTCAGGCACTGTGAGTGATGAGTCAGGCACTGTGAGTGATGTGTCAGGCACTGTGAGTGATGTGTCAGGCACCGTGGGTGTTGTGTCAGGCACTGTGAGTGATGAGTCAGGCACTGTGAGTGATGTGTCAGGCACTGTGAGTGATGAGTCAGGCACTGTGGGTGTTGTGTCAGGCACTGTGAGTGATGAGTCAGGCACTGTGGGTGATGTGTCAGGCACTGTGAGTGATGAGTCAGGCACTGTGGGTGTTGTGTCAGGCACTGTGAGTGATGAGTCAGGCACTGTGGGTGATGTGTCAGGCACTGTGGGTGATGTGTCAGGCACTGTGGGTGATGAGTCAGGCACTGTGGGTGATGTGTCAGGCACTGTGGGTGTTGTGTCAGGCACTGTGGGTGATGTGTCAGGCACTGTGGGTGTTGTGTCAGGCACTGTGGGTGATGTGTCAGGCACTGTGGGTGTTGTGTCAGGCACTGTGGGTGTTGTGTCAGGCACTGTGTCAGGCACTGTGGGTGATGTGTCAGGCACTGTGTCAGGCACTGTGGGTGATGTGTCAGGCACTGTGTCAGGCACTGTGTCAGGCACTGTGTCAGGCACTGTGTCAGGCACTCACGTGCAGCAGAGCCTGCCTCTGTTCAGGCCGTAAGTGGCTGAATTCATCGCTCAGCACAAACTGGATCGCTGTAACATCACCACCATCAACAACACCACTATCAACATCACTACCATCAACAACACCACCATCAACATCACCAACACCACCACCATCAACATCACCACCATCAACAACACCACCATCAACAACACCATCATCAACATCACCACCATCAACATCACCACCATCAACAACACCACCATCAACAACACCACCATCAACATCACCAACACCACCACCATCAACATCACCACCATCAACAACACCACCATCAACATCACCACCATCAACATCACCAACATCACCAACACCACCACCATCAACATCACCACCATCAACACCACCACCATCAACAACACCACCATCATCAACATCACCACCATCAACATCAATATCACCAACATCACCAACACCACCACCATCAACATCACCACCATCAACACCACCACCATCAACAACACCACCATCAACAACACCACCATCAACATTACCCCCATCAACATCACTATCATCACCAACATCACCACCATCAACAACACCACCACCATCAACAACACTACCATCACCAACACCACCATCAACATCACTACCATCAACATCACCATCACCAACACCACCACCATCAACATCACCACCATCAACAACACCACCATCAACATTACCTCCATCAACATCACTATCATCACCAACATCACCACCATCAACAACACCACCACCATCAACAACACCACCATCAACAACACCACCATCAACATCACCACCATCAACATCACCATCACCAACATCACCACCATTACCAACACCACCACCATCAACACCACCACCATCAACATCACTATCATCATCAACAACACCACCATCACGAACATCACCACCATCAACAACACTACCATCACCAACACCACCATCAACATCACTACCATCAACATCACTACCATCACCATCAACAACACCACCATTAACATCACTACCATCATCACCAACATCAACAACACTATCATTAACAACACCACCATCAACATCACTACCATCACCACCATCAACAAGACCATCATCATCAACAACACCACCATCATCAACATCATTACCATCACCAACATCACTACCATCACCAACATCACCAACATCAACATCACCAACATCATCAATATCCCAAACATCACCATCATCATCACCAAAATCAAACATTACCAACATCATCACCAGCTGCAACATCACCACCATCACCATCATCCATTGGACTTCCATGAAAATCACCACCACCCTCATCACTACCAATATCACCATCACCACCATTAACATCACCACTATCACCATCATCACTACCAACATCAACATAACCACCAAAATCAAACATTACCAACATCACCATCACCACCATCACTACCAACATCACCACCATTAACATCACCACCATCACCACCAATACCACCATCAACATAACCACCAAAATCAAACATTGCCAACATCACCATCACCACCATTAACATCACCACCATCACCAACATCACCAACATCACCATTGCCCGTCCCCACCGGCCTCCTCACCATAGAAGAAGTTACTTTTCCCAGAGCCATTCCGCCCGACTGGAAAAAAGGAAAATAAAGTGATCACCATCACCGCTAACATCACCATCACCGATAACATCACCATCACACATCACCATCACCGCTAACATCACCATCACACATCACCATCACCGCTAACATCACCATCACCATCACCGCTAACATCACCATCACACATCACCATCACCGCTAACATCACCATCACACATCACCATCACCGCTAACATCACCATCACACATCACCGCTAACATCACCATCACACATCACCATCACCGCTAACATCACCATAACACATCACTGCTAACATCACCATCACCGCTAACATCACCATCACACATCACCATCACCGCTAACATCACCATCACCATCACCGCTAACATCACCATCACACATCACCATCACTGCTAACATCACACATCACCATCAACGCTAACATCACCATCACCGCTAACATCACCGCTAACATCACCATCACCGCTAACATCACCATCACACATCACCGCTAACATCACCATCACCGCTAACATCACCGCTAACATCACCATCACCGCTAACATCACCATCACTACACACATCACAACACAAATCACCATCACCACACACATGACTGTGGCTTACATCACTGTCACCACCGGCACCGTCACCACCGTCACCACCACCACCGTCACCACCATCACCACCACCACTGTCACCACCGTCACCACCGTCACCACCATCACCGTCACCACCATCACCACCACCACCGTCACCACCGTCACCACCGTCACCACCACCACTGTCACCACCGTCACCGTCACCACCGTCACCACCACCACCGTCACCACCATCACCACCACCACTGTCACCACCGTCACCACCGTCACCACCACCACTGTCACCACCGTCACCGTCACCACCGTCACCACCACCACCGTCACCACCGTCACCACCGTCACCACCACCACTGTCACCACCGTCACCGTCACCACCGTCACCACCGTCACCACCGTCACCACCACCACCACCGTCACCACCATCACCACCACCACTGTCACCACCGTCACCACCACCACTGTCACCACCGCCACCACCACCACTGTCACCACCGTCACCATCACCACCGTCACCACCACCACCGTCACCACCATCACCACCACCACTGTCACCACCGTCACCACCGTCACCACCACCACTGTCACCACCGTCACCGTCACCACCGTCACCACCACCACCGTCACCACCATCACCACCACCACTGTCACCACCGTCACCACCATCACCACCACCACTGTCACCACCGTCACCGTCACCACCACCACCACCGTCACCACCATCACCACCACCACTGTCACCACCGTCACCACCACCACTGTCACCACCGCCACCACCACCACTGTCACCACCGTCACCACCGTCACCACCACCACCACCACTCACCGATCACGTTGTGCTTAGAGCTGAAGGGGTCCACGATGGTCTGGTCTCTGTAGCTGCGGAAGCCCTGGATGATGACCTGGGAGCCAGAGAACAACGTCAGTGTGGCTCTGTGTGTGACGTGGTGTGACGTGGTGTGACGTGGTGTGACGTGGTGTGACATGGTGTGACGTGGCTCGGTGTGACATGGTGTGACTCTCTGTGTGTGACGTGGTGTGGCTCTGTGTGTGACGTGGCTCTCTGTGTGACGTGGTGTGACTCTCTGTGTGTGACGTGGCTCGGTGTGACGTGGTGTGACGTGGCTCTCGGTGTGACGTGGTGTGACTCTCTGTGTGTGACGTGGCTCGGTGTGACGTGGTGTGACGTGGCTCTCGGTGTGACGTGGTGTGGCTCTGTGTGTGACGTGGCTCTGTGTGACGTGGTGTGACGTGGCTCTCGGTGTGACGTGGTGTGACTCTCTGTGTGTGACGTGGCTCTGTGTGACGTGGTGTGACGTGGCTCTCGGTGTGACGTGGTGTGACTCTCTGTGTGTGACGTGGCTCGGTGTGACGTGGCTCTCGGTGTGACGTGGTGTGACTCTCTGTGTGACGTGGTGTGGCTGTGTGTGACGTGGCTCTGTGTGACGTGGTGTGACTCTGTGTGTGATGTAGTGTGACTCTCTGTGTGTGACGTGGCTGTGTGACGTGGTATGACTCTGTGTGTGATGTAGTGTGACTCTCTGTGTGTGACTCTCTGTGTGTGACGTGGCTCTGTGTGACGTGGTGTGGCTCTGTGTGTGATGTAGTGTGACTCTCTGTGTGTGACGTGGCTCTGTGTGACGTGGTGTGACGTGGCTCTCTGTGTGACGTGGTGTTACTCTGTGTGTGACGTGGCTCTGTGTGACGTGGTGTGACGTGGCTCTCTGTGTGACGTGGTGTGACTCTCTGTGTGACGTGGCTCTCTGTGTGACGTGGTGTGACTCTCTGTGTGTGACGTGGCTGTGTGACGTGGTGTGGCTCTGTGTGTGACGTGGTGTGGCTCTGTGTGTGACGTGGCTCTGTGTGACGTGGTATGACTCTGTGTGTGACATGGTGTGACTCTCTGTGTGTGACGTGGCTGTGTGACGTGGTGTGACGTGGTGTGACGTGGCTCTGTGTGACGTGGTGTGACGTGGCTCTCTGTGTGACGTGGTGCGACTCTCTGTGTGTGATGTGGCTCGGTGTGACGTGGTGTGATGTGGGTCTCTGTGTGACGTGGTGTGACTCTGTGTGTGACGTGGCTCAGTGTGATGTGGCTCTCTGTGTGTGATGTGGCTCGGTGTGACGTGGTGTGATGTGGGTCTCTGTGTGACGTGGTGTGACTCTGTGTGTGACGTGGCTCAGTGTGACGTGGCTCTCTGTGTGACGTGGTGTGACTCTCTCTGTGTGACGTGGTGTGGCTCTCTGTGTGACGTGGTGTGGCTCTGTGTGACGTGGTGTGACTCTCTGTGTGTGACGTGGCTCTGTGTAACGTGGTGTGGCTCTCTGTGTGACGTGGTGTGGCTCTCTGTGTGGTGTGGCTGTGTGTGGTGTGACTCTGTGACTCTCTGTGTGGTGTGACTCTCTGTGTGATGTGGTGTGACTCTCTGTGTGGTGTGACTCTCTGTGTGTGGTGTGGCTCTCTCCGTGTGTGGTGTGGCATGTGTGGTGTGACTCTCTGTGTGGTGTGACTCTCTCTGTGTGACTCTCTGTGTGTGGTGTGGCTCTCTCTGTGTGTGGTGTGACTCTCTGTGTGTGGTGTGACTCTCTGTGAGTGGTGTGACTCTCTGTGTGTGGTGTGACTCTCTGTGTGTGACTCTGTGTGGTGTGGCTCTCTGTGTGAGTCAGACTATAACTCACAGCTCATTCACAACTCTTATAGATGGCATTTACAGGTTCAGTTACCTCATAACTAACACAACAAATATAACACAATTGTGAGTTACTAACTCGTAAACATTAACACAAATTACACACTTAGTGAGACTGTCTGGCTTACAACTCTTATAGATGACATTGATAGGTTTACCTCATAACTAACACAACAAATATAACACAATTGTTAGTTACCAACTCGTAAACATTAACACAAATTACACACTTAGTGAGACTGTCTGACTTACAACTCTTATAGATGACATTGATAGGTTTACCTCATAACTAACACAATAAATATAACACAATTGTTAGTTACCAACTCGTAAACATTAACACAAATTACACACTTAGTGAGACTGTCTGGCTTAGAACTCTTATAGATGACATTGATAGGTTTACCTCATAACTAACACAACAAATATAACACAATTGTGAGTTACTAACTCGTAAACATTAACACAAATTACACACTTAGTGAGACTGTCTGGCTTACAACTCTTATAGATGACATTGATAGGTTTACCTCATAACTAACACAATAAATATAACACAATTGTTAGTTACTAACTCGTAAACATTAACACAAATTACACACTTAGTGAGACTGTCTGACGTACAACTCGTATAGATGACATTGATAGGTTACCTCATAACACAACAAATTTAACACAATTGTTAGCTACTAACTCGTAAACATTAACACAAATTACACACTTAGTGAGACTGTCTGAGGTTAAACCTGACAGCGAGCTGGCGTACAACTCTTATAGATGACATTGATAGGTTTACCTCATAACTAACACAATAAATATAACACAATTGTTAGTTACTAACTCGTAAACATTAACACAAATTACACACTTAGTGAGACTGTCTGACGTACAACTCGTATAGATGACATTGATAGGTTACCTCATAACACAACAAATATAACACAATTGTTAGCTACTAACTCGTAAACATTAACACAAATTACACACTTAGTGAGACTGTCTGAGGTTAAACCTGACAGCGAGATGGCTTACAACTCTTATAGATGACATTGATAGGTTTACCTCATAACTAACACAACAAATATAACACAATTGAGTTACTAACTCGTAAACATTAACACAAATTACACACTTAGTGAGACTGTCTGGCTTACAACTCTTATAGATGACATTGATAGGTTTACCTCATAACTAACACAACAAATATAACACAATTGAGTTACTAACTCGTAAACATTAACACAAATTACACACTTAGTGAGACTGTCTGGCTTACAACTCTTATAGATGACATTGATAGGTTTACCTCATAACTAACACAATAAATATAACACAATTGTTAGTTACTAACTCGTAAACATTAACACAAATTACACACTTAGTGAGACTGTCTGGCTTACAACTCTTATAGATGACATTGATAGGTTTACCTCATAACTAACACAATAAATATAACACAATTGTTAGTTACCAACTCGTAAACATTAACACAAATTACACACTTAGTGAGACTGTCTGGCTTACAACTCTTATAGATGACATTGATAGGTTTACCTCATAACTAACACAACAAATATAACACAATTGTTAGTTACCAACTCGTAAACATTAACACAAATTACACACTTAGTGAGACTGTCTGGCTTACAACTCTTATAGATGACATTGATAGGTTTACCTCATAACTAACACAACAAATATAACACAATTGTTAGTTACTAACTCGTAAACATTAACACAAATTACACACTTAGTGAGACTGTCTGACGTACAACTCGTATAGATGACATTGATAGGTTACCTCATAACACAACAAATTTAACACAATTGTTAGCTACTAACTCGTAAACATTAACACAAATTACACACTTAGTGAGACTGTCTGAGGTTAAACCTGACAGCGAGCTGGCGTACAACTCTTATAGATGACATTGATAGGTTTACCTCATAACTAACACAATAAATATAACACAATTGTTAGTTACTAACTCGTAAACATTAACACAAATTACACACTTAGTGAGACTGTCTGACGTACAACTCGTATAGATGACATTGATAGGTTACCTCATAACACAACAAATATAACACAATTGTTAGCTACTAACTCGTAAACATTAACACAAATTACACACTTAGTGAGACTGTCTGAGGTTAAACCTGACAGCGAGATGGCTTACAACTCTTATAGATGACATTGATAGGTTTACCTCATAACTAACACAACAAATATAACACAATTGAGTTACTAACTCGTAAACATTAACACAAATTACACACTTAGTGAGACTGTCTGGCTTACAACTCTTATAGATGACATTGATAGGTTTACCTCATAACTAACACAACAAATATAACACAATTGAGTTACTAACTCGTAAACATTAACACAAATTACACACTTAGTGAGACTGTCTGGCTTACAACTCTTATAGATGACATTGATAGGTTTACCTCATAACTAACACAATAAATATAACACAATTGTTAGTTACTAACTCGTAAACATTAACACAAATTACACACTTAGTGAGACTGTCTGGCTTACAACTCTTATAGATGACATTGATAGGTTTACCTCATAACTAACACAATAAATATAACACAATTGTTAGTTACCAACTCGTAAACATTAACACAAATTACACACTTAGTGAGACTGTCTGGCTTACAACTCTTATAGATGACATTGATAGGTTTACCTCATAACTAACACAACAAATATAACACAATTGTTAGTTACCAACTCGTAAACATTAACACAAATTACACACTTAGTGAGACTGTCTGGCTTACAACTCTTATAGATGACATTGATAGGTTTACCTCATAACTAACACAACAAATATAACACAATTGTTAGTTACCAACTCGTAAACATTAACACAAATTACACACTTAGTGAGACTGTCTGGCTTACAACTCTTATAGATGACATTGATAGGTTTACCTCATAACTAACACAACAAATATAACACAATTGTTAGTTACCAACTCGTAAACATTAACACAAATTACACACTTAGTGAGACTGTCTGGCTTACAACTCTTATAGATGACATTGATAGGTTTACCTCATAACTAACACAACAAATATAACACAATTGTTAGTTACCAACTCGTAAACATTAACACAAATTACACACTTAGTGAGACTGTCTGAGGTTAAACCTGACAGCGAGATGGCTTACAACTCTTATAGATGACATTGATAGGTTTACCTCATAACTAACACAACAAATATAACACAATTGTTAGTTACCAACTCGTAAACATTAACACAAATTACACACTTAGTGAGACTGTCTGAGGTTAAACCTGACAGCGAGCTGGCGTACAACTCTTATAGATGACATTGATAGGTTTACCTCATAACTAACACAACAAATATAACACAATTGTGAGTTACTAACTCGTAAACATTAACACAAATTACACACTTAGTGAGACTGTCTGGCGTACAACTCTTATAGATGACATTGATAGGTTTACCTCATAACTAACACAACAAATATAACACAATTGTTAGTTACTAACTCGTAAACATTAACACAAATTACACACTTAGTGAGACTGTCTGAGGTTAAACCTGACAGCGAGCTGGCTTACAACTCTTATAGATGACAATGATAGGTTTACCTCATAACTAACACAACAAATATAACACAATTGTTAGTTACTAACTCGTAAACATTAACACAAATTACACACTTAGTGAGACTGTCTGAGGTTAAACCTGACAGCGAGATGGCTTACAACTCTTATAGATGACATTGATAGGTTTACCTCATAACTAACACAACAAATATAACACAATTGTTAGTTACTAACTCGTAAACATTAACACAAATTACACACTTAGTGAGACTGTCTGAGGTTAAACCTGACAGCGAGATGGCTTACAACTCTTATAGATGACATTGATAGGTTTACCTCATAACACAACAAATATAACACAATTGTTAGTTACCAACTCGTAAACATTAACACAAATGACACACTTAGCGAGACTGTCTGAGGTAAACCTGACAGCGAGCTGGCTTACAACTCTTATAGATGACATTGATAGGTTTACCTCATAACTAACACAACAAATATAACACAATTGTTAGTTACCAACTCGTAAACATTAACACAAATTACACACTTAGTGAGACTGTCTGGCTTACAACTCTTATAGATGACATTGATAGGTTACCTCATAACTAACACAACAAATATAACACAATTGTTAGTTACTAACTCGTAAACATTAACACAAATTACACACTTAGTGAGACTGTCTGAGGTTAAACCTGACAGCGAGCTGGCGTACAACTCTTATAGATGACAATGATAGGTTTACCTCATAACTAACACAACAAATATAACACAAAATTTAGCACAAAGCGATACTGGAATCGCATTGCCTTGTGAGGTAAATAAGCAGATACCTGTTTGATGTACATTTCGGCGGGCAATTCCTTCCCTGCCTCTCTCCGGTGTTTAATGGGTAAGTTGTTTATGTTGTTGTTGTTGATCTGTTGACGTTGTTTGTTTATTTGTGTTTGTGTATTATTGTAAAGTTCCCGTCGCCCGCTTTGGCGCCAAAAGCGAACGCGAACCCCCCGGGTGAAGGGGGGGGAAATGGCGGCAACGGTGATGGACGAAACCAACTCGGATACGATGGTGGGAGGGGGGGGGGGTGTTTGTCAATCGATCACAGTTACATTTTATCTTTTCAAAATAAATACGTTAAAATCACTAAAATATTCGTACTAGAGCTGCATTATACGACCGTTGAATAAGATAGCGTTGTGCAACTGGAGCGGCAAAATGAGCGTGTCGTTTTTCCGAGTTGGTCTCACCCAACGCCACCCCGCTCCGCGCTCGCGGAGCACTTGGTACGGTCTGAAAAAGGAGCTGCGCTTATCCGGTCTGTGGTTTGTAAACGCGCATAGCTTATCCAGGCTACGGGATTAAATGTGCCGATCACGTGGTACGGCACCGACCAATCATGAGAGGTCTAGGGAATTTTAATGAAGAATCCGAAGAGCCGTAAAGCTCTTTGGTAACAGAATCAGAGTTCGGTTCTTTTATTGATCCTGGAGACGTTTCCGATGAGCTTACGAGGATCTTTGTTTTCAGACGTCCATATGGAGAGGTCAAACAAATCGCTGAATTATTTTTTAAAATTAAACAATGACCAATTAAATTTTTATTTAAAGCTTTCGTGACTGCAGGGATTCATATTCTTGGTTCTTTCGGTAAAGTCACCACGTAGAAGGGAAACAATAAAATAATAAAAACATAAAACACTAAAATTATTGTAAAACAATACAATTATTATTCTTGGTTCTTTCGGTAAAGTCACCACGTAGAAGGGAAACAATAAAATAATAAAAATATAAAACAATAACATTATTGTAAAACATTAAAATTATTATTCTTGGTTCTTTCGGTAAAGTCACCACCACGTAGAAGGGAAACAATAAAATAATAAAAATATAAAACAATAAAATTATCACGATGTTTCGACTGCAAGACGAGCAATTATCATCAGGTGTGAAAACCACAGCAAGAAAATTTGAAAAAAGTGGTGGTTATTTTTAAAGAAAGAACCAAGAAAAATGACCAATTAACTGCTAAAATTAAACACACGTCGCCAATTGCTTATTAAATTAAACAAATGACAAATTAATTCTGAAATTAAATATATTTTTTAAACCCACGTGCTTCTGGGTGGGAGGCCATCTTGCTCAGAGGATGTGGTGTGGGTCGGCCATCTTGCTTGGGTGGGGAGGGAATGTGGTGGAAGGCGACCATCTTGCTCAGGACGGCGGCCATCTTGCTCAGGGGGAGCATATATCTTGCTCGTGGAGGGTGCGATCATCTTGCTCGGGGTGGGGGGAGTGTGGCCATCTTGCTCAGGGTGGGTGGGCGGCTATCTTGCTCAGAGGTGGGGGGGGGGGGGAGTGCGGTCATCTTGCTCGGGGGGGGCATGGGCGGCCATCTTGCTCAGGGGGCTGGAGTGCAGCCATCTTGCTCAGGGGGCGGCCATCTTGCTCAGGGTGGATGGGGTAAACGTGGGCGGCCATCTTGCTGAGGGAACGGGAGGTAGGCAGGGCGGCCATCTTGCTCAGGAGGAAAGCGTGGCCATCTTGCTAAGGGTGGGTGGGGGTGGGCGGCCATCTTGCTCAGGGGGGCGCGCGGCCATCTTCCTTAGGGTGGGTTGGGGTGGGCGGCCATCTTCGTCAGGGGGGTGGGCGGGGCGGCTACCCTCAGCCAACATGGCCGCGCACCTAAACCAGAGTCCCGACTCCTTCGTCTGAACCTCGTGGCCGCCCGTGGCCATCCCCGTGAA